TTTTTTTTTTTTTTTTTTTTTTTTTTTCCGTGTCCGGCAACGGATCGCAACCCTCAGTGTTGCCCCCGTACCGGACCGGGGACTGGCAACGGGATCGCAACCCTCGGTGTTGCTCCCGCACCGCGCTCAGCCAGTGAGCGCTGTGAGCGCACCGGTCATCCCTATACAGGATCCAAACCCGCGCCCTCCCGAGTGCGCCACAGGCTCGGCCCAGATACTTTACTCTTTTAGATGCTAAGATAAATGGATTTTTTTAAAAAATTTTATTTTGTTGATATACAATGTGGTTGATTATTGTTGCCCATTACCGAAAACTCCCTCCCTCCTCCCTCTTCCCCCTCCCACCCAACAATGTCCTTTCTGTTTGCTTGTTGTATCAACTTCAAGGAACTGTAGTTGTTATGTCTTCTCCCCACCGCCCCCCTGGTTGTTGTTTTTTTTGCGTGCGTGCGTGCATGTGTGTGTGTGTATGAATTTATTTATTTTATCTCCCACCAATAAGTGAGAACATGTGGTATTTCTCTTTCTGTGCCTGACTTTTTCCACTTAATATAATTCTCTCAAGGTCCATCCATGTTGTTGCAAATGGCAGTATTTCATTNAAAAAAAAAAAAAAAAAAAGAAATGTCTGTTTTGATTGTTGTCTTTTTATTGCTGAGTTATGTGTTCTCTATATATTCCAGAAACAAGTCCCTTAACAATTCATGACTTGCAAGTGTGTTATCCCCTTCTGTGGTCGTCTTTTCACTTTCTTGATGGTGTCATTTTAATTTTGATGAAGTTTAATTTGTTTACTTTTTCTTTGGTCCCTCATGGTTTTGGTGTTATATCTAAGCATCTGTTACCAGATCCAAGATCATGAAGATTTATCCCTATGTTTTCTTCCGAGAATGTACAAGTTTTAGGTGGTTCAGGTGTTTGGGCCATTTTGAGTTAATTTTTGTATATGGTGTTAGGCAAGGGTCCCGCCTCGTTCTTCTGCATGTAGATGTCCAGTTGACCAACCACTATCTGTTGAAGACACTGTTCATTCCCCAATGAGTGCACTTGGCACCCTTGTCAAAAATCAGTTGGGGGCCGAGCCCGTGGCGCACTCAGGACGGTGCAGCGCTGGGAGCACGGTGGCGCTCCGGCCGTGGGTTCAGATCCTATATGGGGATGACGGGTGCGCTCACATCGCTCACTGGCTGAGAGCAGTGCGGCCGGTCTCAAAAAGGACAAAAAAAAAAAAAAATCAGTTGGCCACAGATGTTTAGGTTTATTTCTGGGCTCTCAATTCTACTCTGTTGATCTGTATTAATCCTTGTGCCAGTCCCACATTTTTTTGATTACTGTATCTTTGTAATAAGTTTTCAAACTAGGAAGTGTGAGTCCTTTAACTTTCTTCTTTGTAAGCTTGTTATAGCTATTTGGGGCTCCTTATAACTCCATATAGATTAAAGGGTTGTCTTTTCTATTTCTGGGAAAAAAAGAAAAAAACAGCTTTGGGAATTTTGAAAGGGATTGTGTTGAATCTGTGGATTGCTTTGGATAGTATCATCATCTTAATATTATGTTTTCTAGTCCATGAACACGGGATATCTTTACATTTATTGATGTTGTCTTTGATTTTTTCCAGCAGTATTGTGTATTTTTCAGTGTACACATCTTTCACCTCCCTGGTTAAGTTTATTCCTAGATACTTTACTCTTTTTTTTTTTTTTTTTTTTGGTCCTTTTTGAGCCCAGCCGCACCGCGCTCAGCCAGTGAGCGCTGTGAGCGCACCGGTCATCCCTATACAGGATCCAAACCCGCGCCCTCCCGAGTGCGCCACAGGCTCGGCCCAGATACTTTACTCTTTTAGATGCTAAGATAAATGGATTTTTTT